GATGAGTCAAATGATGAAAATCACATCACTTATTATGCAACTACCCTTTTAAGAGAAAAGCCACATGACTGCAAGTGGAAGCCGATTTTGCAAACAGTTGCTTATGATTGATTCAGTTATTACCAAGCAACTTGTGCATGCAAGACGTGACATCTCACTTTGACGTTCGTGTTTGTTGAGATAATTACCTCGAGTTGTCTCCATTTGCGGAAACACTTTTTTGGTGTGTGTGACTTCCCTCTATCCGCAACTTTTCAAAACTTTCTATAAGGCAGCGTTAACCGCATCGAATAAGGTAATATTCCTCTTCTAAAGAAGATTTTCCTCTCCCTTGTTCCTCCGTTTTAAATGCTCGCTTGTTTGTCGATTCCAGCCGTACTTCTGCTCCAACGCGAAAAGATCACAACTGGGTTAAATGGTCTATCCTCAACCAGGTTGTCTAACAAGGCCAACCTCCTTTCTTAACCCCCACATCTGTCGAAGCCAACTGTGCCTGTTACAGAACAAAGTAATTACTTGCATGACCCTACCATTTTACCTCCACTATGTGTCGAAGCCAACGCTGCAGTACAGAGTTCAAGCATTGTTCCTGCTACTTTGTTCTAACAACTATTTTCATGCCTTAGAGTAACACTGATCTGACAGGTGCACGGTACAAACGGATTTTGATGGGGTACCAACTCTTTTTACCGTCAAAATATTGGACAGGCTTCGAAAAGCGGTTGATGCTGGGGGGCATCCCCCTATTTAATTGTGGCAGAATAGCGTTAATACTAAAGATGATGAAGCCGGGATACTTCAGCTCGTCAACATGGGGAAGGGCTTCACTTGCTTATTTCACTTGTATATTAACTGTGCCAGATGGGTTATTCATTACTTTTGACTTTCAGGCATTAAGGCGGCTTCAGCAGCTGTGTCGCATATGAAAGTCATCAAGTAGTAAGACCCCTCCGGGATGCTACTCACCAGGGCAATATCATTTACGAACTTTACACCAGCAAAATGTTGAACTGGATATTTAGAACTGGACCCTCCTTCTAATATGAAACTTTTTTCTTTGCCATGGTCCTCATTTTTTTGGAAAAGAAAATCGATTCCAATGTATAATAGCAAAGATAAAGCGCATCTCTCTGGCGAGCTCAAAAATTAATAGAGAATCTCTCAGATAATTCTGTTTCATCCTAGACCGCAAACATGGTTCCTGCATGCATCTTTTCAAACCAGAAGCCATCTACTCAGCTGTCCCATGGCATTTAACGATTTCTAGATCGTCAGACGATATAGTGAATCAAACGTGCCTTATACTCGAGGTAACAGGCAGACCAAGGCAACTGGAATCGTCAGCGCTGCTCAGTGATTCTGCGCAAGGTCAAACTTTGGTCATGGTAAGATTCCTTCATCCGCGAACCGACTTAATTTTGGCAAAGTCTCTCATCAACTCCATGCCTCAGTCTCTTCGAAATAATCCAGGGGAAAACTTTGCCGCGAGTTGACATCAGTGTCAAGTTGAACTCCCCGTCAGTAGACTCCTTTAAATATTAAGACAGTTACTCCACATCGCCGTTCTGCAGGATACAGTCTGGAGAACAACTTTTGATGAAACGGATCATGCAGGCTTTTTGCCATTTTCCTTCCTATATATTTAATTACCTTCAGAGGAAGTCGATTAATACCGCAGATCTCCTTCACGTCTAGTTGTAACAATGTCTATTGGACTTCTAATTTTGTGAACAGGTCTGTACTAACCTCTGGTGTCGGCAGGGAATTAACTGTAGGAAATAATGAATCTGGAAGGCAGTCATTGTGCAGCTGCTTGAAATGCTCAGCGCATCTTCTGAGGCGTTCCTTCTGACCTACGAATGGTACTACCTTAGCGCACTGGATGAGGGCAGATCGAGTCTCCTGCTTATCGGACAACAGTTCGCCAATCATCCTTTCCGGCTGCCTTGTCAATCTTTCTGATTTCCCCCCTCCTGTCAAAGTTCGCCATCCCGCCTCTACCTCATGTTGAGTGCTTGGCGAGGATCTGGCTGCCTTAGAGGCTGCGGCATGGCGTTGCAAGTATTTCTTCTTTGCCCAATTTTGTCGCATTCTAAGAGTTTGTTAACCCAAGGCTGTTTGGCTGTTCTCTTCGTGACTCCAATTACGTTTTCCTCAAGGAAATGACTACTTTTCTGAAGTCATTGTAAGTTTCACGTACGTTGCCACGTCCTGACTGGGCAATAAATATTGCACTAAGGTAACCCTCTACCTCGTTTTGGTTGACCAACCACTCCGTTTGTCAACATAAAGCCGCTAGGTGTTTCAAGCTGAAGTTGTCGATGCGACATGGCCAGTTTTAGACACATTTCCACTACGATTTTATGGTGATCAGACCCAGTGCAGGCGCCAAACCTGATGCCAGTCTCGAATGAAGAGCTACGCCATTTGTAGATGATGAGTTTCAACGAGTTGAGTGTTTAGGCTTCCATGAGGAAGCTTTCTTGCGAACGTACATGAGGTTTATATAATACGCTTTTGTGGAAAAAGGGTCGCGCTGACGATTGGACCGTTCGTTGCGCAGAAGCCTTCCAGTTGTCATTTACGCTGGCACTGCTGTGACGGCCGAGTACACCAAGCCATGTGCTGTGACAATTGCGACGTCGTGAATCGACAAACAGCTAGCAGGTGACTACAGGCAGTCATATTAAGCGTCTCTGTCTGTGACACTCGACACGTTTGTTGGGGCATAGGCGACAATGACATTCTTTGTCACGTGTTTCAGATTCACGCCAAAGATCAGGATTCTCTCCGACACCTATTCCGTTCAAATAACATCCAGGCTTACCTTACGGGACAAGAGGACGCCCACACTGTCACGGCGTTATCAACTGTGGCCTCACCACCAAAATGGCAACCCAACCCACAGGTCAAACGTCCTCTTCCCCAGGAGGCAAGCTACATTATTATCGATGAGTCGTACAGCACGCAAAACCTAATTTGCCTTCGTCAGTCAAGGAATGGACACTCAAATACGCAGCAGGGAACTTGCCTCTTGTAGAGTTGAGAATTAGAGTCACAGATTTTTCCGTTCCTAGTTGACTGGTAAGTTGCTAGATGGAACCGCTCTCTGCGCAACTCATTTCCGTGAGAACAGTAAGTTCGCCGCTGCTCGCTAAGAAGCCAACCTGACAACCTGATTAGTAGATGTCCTGATTGTGAGAAAGCTTCAAACTTGATCCCTCATTTATGTTTGCTAAAAGTGTTACCAATGTACAAGATGGATATCAATATGATAGCGAAACAATCCGGATAAGAAAAATCTTTCTGGGAGGCAATCTCGTCATTTTTTTTTATTTAGAGTTAAACCTGCTTAATAGTCTGTTAAACAAATATTGGTACGGCTAAGTTATCGAGAAGATGAGCAATGCGAAGCTCTTCCACCTCCTCTTCATGCATAGTCTGAAACATAACGCTAGAAATGAAAAAATGGATAGTGTTCAAGCTGGTAGCTTACATCATCAAGTCAATCGGTTTAAGTAAATGTGCAGTTCTGCATACTAACGCGGGAAACTGTTTCAGTCAGAAGACCTGACCGGAAATTCAAGAACTACGCATGGACGCATTTAATAAATTACTCGGAATGAAGAAACTGTTCCGGGGAACTCTAAACAAGTTAAAAAAAATGCGATATTGATATTCAACAAGGGACTCTCACTGGTCTGGGCTTTCTTCTATAAATATGATCTGATATGAAAGTTGTTAATTCCTCAGTCATGCTGGTGTTTGTGCATACACTGGGCATCATGAAATGGTCCCAGATCCTTCTCGATTGTCTTGATGGAATGGCCTGCAC